AGGCCAAACAGGATAGTGGGACAAGAGGAAAGTAAAAGGAAATAGAGGAAAGAACCAGGAGGCAAAGGATACTTACAGGCCAGTACATATGTAAATATATTTATATATAACGATAGGGAAATCGATCTATGTACTTATATTCATATGTTAAGTATTAAAGTAGCAGATGGACATTGGGCCTCGACTCAAGCACTCGCTCAATGCAAGAACACTTTGTTCTAATAATCCAGCATTCTGTGATGCTCACCTTCCCCGACATGAAAAATGGGTGCATAAGCATGTGTGATGAAGAAAACTGATGATGCCTGGCTATCAAAAAATATAGCGTCTGGGATTTTAAAGGCTTGAAGATGAACAAGCAGTCATCTAGCTGAGAAGCAACAAAGCCCACATGGAAGAAGCACACCAGCCTGTGTGATCATGAGGTGTCCATTGGATTATGTATCAGGGATCAAAGACACCGAAAAAAAATCATATTAATGTGAATTAGGTGGGGGGGCGTGGAATGAAGACACAAGGCCCATCTGTAGACAATTGGACATTCCCTTACAAAAGGGTCACAAGGAAGAGATGCGCCAACCAGGGTGCAGGGTAGCAACGATGAAACATACAGCTTTCCTCCAGTCCTTTAATGCCCCCCCACTATCATGACCCCAATTCTACCTTACAAATCTGGCTGAACCAGAGCATGTACACTGGTACAGATAAGAGCTGGAAACACAGGGAAACCAGGACAGATAAAACCCTGAGGACCAATCATGAGAATCGAGACACCGGGAGGGAGAGGGGACGGTGGAGGTGTAGGGGGAGAAAAGGGGAACCGATCACCATGATCTACATATAACCCCTTCCTAGGGGGATGGACAACAGAAGAGTGGGTGAAGGGAGACAGTGGTTAATGTAAGACATGGGAGCATGATTTATAAATTATCATGGGTTCATGAGGGATGGAGGGGGAGGGAGGAAATGAAGAGCTGATATCAAGGGCTCAAGCAGAAAGAAAATGTTTTGTAAATGATGATGGCAACATATGTACAAATGTGCTAGACACAATGGATGTATGAAGGGCTGTAAGAGCCCCCAATAAAAAGATTTTTTTAAAAAAGGAAGAAAATGTTTTGAAATGGAAAACAAGTTATGTTTACACTATACTAAAGTGTAGGAAGTGGGCAATAACCATATGAAGACATGTAAAATATTGTGAAAATTACCAAAGTGTGACACAAAGACATGAAGTGAGTGGCCTGTTGGGAAAATGTCACTCATAGACTTGTTTGATGCAGGGATGTCACAGACCTTTATTGAAAATGGAACAAAATGTGTAATGAAAAAAAATGCAATATCGGTGAAACACTATAAAGCAAAGCATAATAAGATGAACGTGCATGTATATATAATAAATTCACTGTCATTGAGTCACTTCTAATTCATAGCAACCCTATAAAAGGATTTTAAGACTGTCAATCTTGCCTCGAACAGACAGCCTCATCCATGGAGTGACTGGTGGGTTTGAATTCTGAACCTTGCAGCTAGCAGTCCAACACTTAACCCACAGCACTACCAGAGCTTATATATATATATATAATATATAAAATGAATATCACAGAGTGAATGTTTATAATATACAGTGAGTGTACATAGAATATAGAGTATGTTTATGTAGGATTTAATGAATATATAATAGAATGTATAGTGACTATATAACATTTATACTGATATATATAAAATATAGAATCAATGTATACATAATGTAGAGTGAATATATATACATACACGCCCACAGTGATACGTCAGTTGTCCAATGGCTCTAAGCTCAAATAGCAAAGTTCAAAAAAAATCTGCTCGGTGATTGGGACTTTGCTTGATCGTCTAATTGAAAATCTGGCTGAAAGTGAGTCGCCTGTGGCATCTCACCTTGGACACAAAGGGATGACATCTCAGTCTAAGCGCCACTTTTGCTCAGACACCCTATAGTGCTTGTGTTGGTGCGTTAAAACATTCATCGGTGTGCTTTTTGTGTGCTTTATTTGCGTCAAACATCATAACCCTGGCTTCTAAGGAAGTTAGTGATAGCAGCAGTAAAGCTAAGAGGAAAACTGAGAATCACGATAGAGTTAAAGAAGGAAATCATGGCAAAATTTGAATCAGGTCACTGCTTGTCTGATCTGGAGGCTGAATACAACATGGTTATGTCGATATTGTCAACATTTTGGGGGGGGGGAAGAATTGTGATTAAAGTGGCTAATGTAGCGAAAGGTGTGAAATCATTAACCATGAAACAAAGAACCCAGACCATGGAAGAGGTTGAAAAGTTACTGAGCATTTAGCTAAATCAGAAACAATTCAAAAGCAAAATGTATCTGAGACAGTGACATGTGAGAAGGCTACAAGACTCCATAGTGACTTAATGAAAAATGTGGCAGGACTGAGTGCTGAACAGCCCCGAGTGTTCCAAGCCATCCACGGCTGGTTTGAAATTTTCAAAGAGAGAGCAGGTTTACACAGTGTACTGAGGCAAGGGGAAGGGGCGAGTGCAAATAAAGATGAAGCTGAATTTGCTGAAGCCATGGAGCCCGAGGGTTCCATTCCCTAGCAAGTGTTCAACTGCGACAAAAGTAGACTTTCAATACCCAAGAGGCACTTCAGTACTAAAGAGGAAAAGGCATTGCCAGGCCACAAGCCTGTGAAAGAAAGGCTCAGGGAATCCAGGACAGATAAACCCCTCAGGACCACAACCCTCTGTTGTGGTGGGGGAGTGCTAGTGGGGATTTTAAAACGAAGCTCATGTTAGTGTACCATTCTGAAACCCTACGGGTTTCTAAACAACAAAACATAATGAAACAAGTTAATTTTATTGACTGCCTTCTTTTTTGATATTTAATGTACTGCATTTATGGTGTTTAGATGTGTCAGGGAGGATTTCCACAATCTAGGGCTGTTAACTTTGTGTTAAAGTGCTGAGAAAATGAATCTATAAGTGTACTTTTATGGGTCTCAACCAATTATTTGTTTTTCCATGATTTCTTATGGGGGAAAAATGTTCAGTTCTTGAGTTTATCAGTGTTCAAACATGAATTTGGAATGAAATGAGTTCGACAACCGAGGTATCACCAAGGGTGACGCGCACATGTGTGCACATGCTTCTGTCCCCCAATCCAAACTCACTTCCTTGGGGTTGATTCTGACTCACAGAACAAAGGAGAAATGTCCCTTTGTGTGTCCAAGGCTGTAATCTGTATGGGAGCAGAAAGCCTCATCTTGCTCTCAAGCAATTTGTGGATTCTAAGCACTGACTGAGCAGGAGCCCTGGTGGTTATGTGTGGGGTTGCTAATGGCCAGGCCAGCGATTTAAAACCACCAGCCAGTTCTGTGGACAAAGAGTTCCCATAAAGAGTTACAGTCTCGGAAACTCACAGGGTCGCTATGAGTCTGCATCAACTTGATGGCAGTTAGTGCTGACTTTGGGAGTTAGCAATTCAATGCTTAACTTCACTATGCCATAGCAGGATGTAAAATCTTTTGTCAAAGAGTGACTTTATTAAATCCAGGATCCCACATTGTGTGTTGTGTACCACGTGGGATACACATATCCACATTTGAAAGCTGTCTTATGTAGCTTCCCAAGCATAGTTGGGGTAGGACAGAGTAGAACTGCCCTGTGAGTTTGTGAGACCGTGAACTCTTTACCAGAGTAGAACACCATGCTTTCTTCTGCAGCGCTGGCTAATGGTTTTAAACTGCTAACCTTGTAGTTTGCCCAGCGCATAACTACCACATCACCAGGGCCCCTTGGCCCTTCATAGGTATTCCATAAACATGAGCTGAGTCCAAATGTAGGCTGACTGACTTCTCCAGTGAATTCAACAACCTGGGGCGGGCCGACACTTTGAAAGGGCTGCAGGAGACTGAAGCCTGTATGTATGTACAGGAGTCCGATTTAGGCAACTGCGTTTAAATTCAGTTTCCTTCCTATGTAGATCTATGTGGAATGCAAAGCTAACAACAGACTACAAATACGTGTGTGTGAGCGCGCAGTGGGGCGGAGGGGGGTGTTTCCAAAAGAATGCAAGTAGGTTTTGCCAGGAAAGCAGCTTGCAGCTTCTGAAATGTTTTTGGTCTTAGCCACGGGCATGCTCCACTGAGTGTCCTTAGGAGAGCTTTGCCGCGCAGCCAGTGCCAAGCATCTGTTTCTGCACAACTGTTGTTCAAACCTGGTCTCCCTTTCTCACCATTGTCTTTGAGGAACAAGAGACACCCCCATGCCCAAACCTCCGATTTAATCGCCCTAACATCTTCCAAGTCCTGCGGAGGAGAGTGGGTTAGGCGTTCTGTTGCTAACCACAAGGTCTAGGCGATCTCAAACTCACCCGTGGAGGCTGCCTTCTCTGGAAAGAGTTAGCTTCTCGGAAACCCTGAGGGAGCAGCAATTCTGCTGTGCTCCCTAGGGTCCCTCTGAGGTGTGATAGACTCCTCCGCTGTGAGGTTTTGCCTTTTGGTTTTAGCCAGGATCCTTAACTTTTCCCCTTACCCCCTGCCTGGGTTCACACTTCAATTCCCAAGGTTCTTCCAAGTCCCTCCCATTGTTCTGTCATCTGATGCATATGCAAATATCACATAATTGGCAGCCAATGGCGAGGGTCCTGGTCACATGGTGCCCATGGTAGGTGATCCGACAGAAGTTGTGTGGCGGCGAACAGAGACTGCTCTCAGTCTGGGCGAGCGCTCCAGTGAGCAAGGACGGATGCTTGGGCAGTGGTCCCAGCAGTGGCAGTGGCGGCAGTAGTGGTGGCAGGAGAGTGGAAGGGGGAGGGCCCCGGGCTACACACACTCCCACTCTCAAGTTCCCTGGCAGCTAGGGGACAGTGGGGCTGGAGAAAGCAGCGTGCAGCAGCAGTCCCATCGGTCCCAGCCCATCTCGGCCGCCCTCCGCCTCTGGCTCCCAGGCGCCAGGAGAGTTGCGGGCTCTGGTGAAGGGCAGGTCGGTGGGGACAGTGAGGAGCAGAGGGGAGCTGGAGCGAGGGGTGAGGAGGAAGATGCCCATCTTGCTGTTCCTCATAGACACGTCCGCCTCTATGAACCAGCGCACTGACCTGGGCACCTCCTATCTGGACGTTGCCAAAGGCGCTGTGGAGTTATTCCTGAAGGTAAATGGAGGGGAGGGATGGGCCGAGGCGGCAGAGCGCCCCCAACCCCACCTCGGGGATGGGTCGGCTTCAGGTGCTTCGTTAACGTCCCTGTCTCCCCCTCCCCTGTGCTCATCCCTGCCTTCCGTCATCCCTGCGCCGGCAGCTGCGAGCCCGAGACCCGGCCAGTCGCGGAGACAGGTACATGCTGGTCACCTACGACGAGCCCCCGTACTGCATCAAGGTAAAGGGGCC